TGCTGACAAACGTTGCAGATGTGAGCACATCATCCAGGCCCTTGTACTTTGCTCTGTCTCTGGAATCCCTGCTCGTGTCGTTTGCAGCATTTGTGAAGTGATCATGAAGCACTCGGTAGTTTTCCCAGACTGCTCTGACGCTCCTTTCACTTGAAGCCACCCAGCGGATGGACAAAACACGCCCTATCACCAGGAGACGCTGTCCGACTGCTTGCGCACACTGCGCTAACTGCCTCTGATTTTTGGGGGAGGCATGGAACAAGGAATAGAGTTTGTCAAAAAAGATCTGGAAATGATTGAGCCCTGAGACCTCCTTGACCACATCCCCAACTGCCAGCTCTAGACGATGATTGGAGCAGTGCCACATAAACAGGCTTGGGAATTTACTACACAACTGGGTAGCAACGCCTGTTCTCTTCCCTAGCATGACTGAAGCCCCATCACATGCAAAAGAAACGAAACACTGACCTAAAAAGTCCTCGTTAAAATCTCTTCCAAGACACTCCATTAACGCCTTTGTGATGTCATCAGCCGTTGTTCCATCCAACTCGATCAGCTCCCAAAAAAACGTTTCGGGCTCAGCATCAGCTAATGCTGAGCGGAGACACACAACAAGCACCGTTTTACCACTAATAGTGGTAGATTCATCGACCAAAACACAGAGTTTTCTTTGGTTTTCTGTAATGTCTTTTGCCATTTTTTTCTTCAGCTCATGAGCTATGTGGTCGATGATTTCGCCACAGGTTTTATTGGAGTGCAAAACCCTGCCCACGTTCAGCCCATTCAGTTTCTGTACATTCAAATCAATTGGCATGTCTGTGAATGGCCGGCTATGTTTGCCAATTTTATATGCCGTTCGAAAAAACTCTGATAGTGGTGTCTAATTCAGATTTATGCATAGACTGCACTTGATGTTGAATAGTTTCACGTGAAGCAGATGTAAGGATGTCAGCAGCTTTTACATGGGCTTGTGATTCTTTATGTTCTTTGATTTTTTTTCTCAGGCTAGCTTGTTGTTTGCCCTTGTCAACACCGAAATGAGACACTGCACACTCACCCCATTCAGTTGACAGTTTCAGTCCTTGTCCAGTGTGTATTCCCAAAGATTTGACATCTCTGCATATCCGACATCCTAGCTTCTTATCTTTAAGAAGGAGCCATGCATTGGTCTTGCAAAAATATTGCACCTTGTCCGTTGTCCAGCAGTCAGGTGCATCGCTTTGCCCGGTGTTGGTGGTGGCAGTTGCGCCAGCAGCAGCTAACGTTAGAGGCTCTGGAGGAGGCGGCGGAGCTAGTGCTAATGCTAATGCACTAGAACTTGGAGCAGGAGGATCAACCAAAGAAAGCTCCCCATCAGACACCATTTCCAACACAGGCACAGCATTCTCTGTATTTGAAGTTTCTTCCGGCGACAACCGCTGTCTTTTTGCACTTTTATTAATCCACCCTAACATTTTAGAAATGCTAATTTGTGACGTGACTTGCTTTCCTTCTCTCGGGGGCGTGCCTGCTCTGTTCTATCACTCTACATAGCCACCCACTGGGTGGGAGTTGCACTGCATAAACACAACACACGTGCATCTAGGTATGTAAATTGTAAAGCATTAAAACATGGTTTTACTAACAGTTTTCAGTATGTTGTTACTTCGGCATTATTATTATTATTATTTTGAAACGTGTATTACTATTAAATCACGGTCAAATAGGTTAATTTTGACATAGTCGTTTCCACCACAGTATTTACATGGAGAAGATAAGCCCCGCCCCCTCTCCAGCACGTTCTGTTTGAATGACAGGAGTAAACAGCTGACAGCCGCTGTGAAACTCCAGCGGTTAGAGCGATGAGAATGTCCGTTCGGCACCTCATGACGCATCTACTGAGTACCGGGCGGCTGTATATATATATATGGATGTATAATAAGAACGGCGGGAGAGTGTTGAGTACTGGCACGGTGCATGAGTACCGGAGTACCGCCAGCATGCCGGTACTGAGCAAGAAGTGCCGGTACTCCATGGGTCAGAACCAGAAGTGCCGGTACTGCGTACCGGTGAGTACCGGCCCAATTCCAGCACTGGCTATATACAGGACCGTCCTGTATACAAACTCCGAAATGGCTATATACAGGACCGTCCTGTAAACAGCTCTCTGAAATGGCTATATACAGGACGGTCCTGTATATAGCCATTTCAGAGCTTGTATACAGGACGGTCCTGTATATAGCCATTTCAGAGACCTTATACAGTATACAGGACCGTCCTGTATATAGCCATTTCAGAGACCTTATATACAGGACCGTCCTGTATATAGCCATTTCAGGGCTTCTGTGCAGGACCGTCCTGTATATAGCCATTTCAGGGCTTCTGTGCAGGACCGTCCTGTATATAGCCATTTGGCGTTGTGTACAGGACCGTCCTGTATAAAGCCTCGGCCGACATGAGCCATCATGAACGAACTTATGCTAATCATAAATCTATCCATCATAAATCTATCGATTAGATTTATGATTCAAAAATAATAAAAGTAGGGTAGACATGTGGATATTATCCGGCTGAACAAAACGTGCATTTATCTAACAGGTTCGTTTTCCACAGACCTTATTTCAAGCTATTTTCCAAAATCCTATGGAGTAATCCCACTGCTTTCTGTCGAGGGAATCCGAGCGAAGCTTACTTCCGGGTTTTAGGACGCGTCACTGCACCTCTTGCATAGACCTCACAGCGGGCGGAACCTGTCATAAAGTCCGCGAAAATAAAGCCCGCCCATTTAGAGGGAAGATATGATTGGTCAATTGTACTGTCATTTGACATTACTCTCTCGTTGAGTTACTATAGCGGGCCCTCTGTGAATGTAGAGAGGGACCAACAAGCTCTCCCGTCTTCACATAACTCGCAGAGACGGCATTTAACCCTTCACATTCCAACAGAAACTGAACAGGCAGATTCGAAGGATTTATTTCTTTGGAAATATTATTTTAAATACAATTAAATCAAGTTATTTTGGTAAAACTAATGAAAAATGTAACAACAAAAAAATCTAAAAAATAATATATTTTTTAATGTTTTCAAATATTATTTTTTAGAATATCTTAGACCCTCACAGAGGGCCTAGAGGGCCCTGACGGCTCGCCACTGATATCTTTGAAACCTAAAATGTTTCAGAGACATTCATGTCATGAATAGCCTATGCAGTCTAGTTTGCATACACATGTGTAGATCCCTAACCATGTGTGACTATTCATACTGTTGTTAATACATTAGAGAAACCTGTAATTAGTACCACAACTTAAACAAAATCGTATCATATTCTGTGTATGCAGATTTAAATATTAACCGATTTTAAGTCTGCCCTTAGTGTTTATATTACTTTTTTTTTTTGTAGGCTCTTTAATGTTAGACCATGTTTTAGGAAACTATGCATCATAATAGTTGACAGCAGATGTCCTAAAACTGCCGCATTATCAGAGTTTTGACAACGTTACTACAAATCTGTCCAAAAACAGGTTCATCTGCTTTAAAAAAATGGAGAAATACTATAGTATCGTTAAAGTTAATAATTAGCAACTTTCACACAAAACGTGAGAATTATTCGAATCACATTTTGAATTCAAACAAAGTAATTGCTGTGCTGTATAATGCAGTGTAGTGTTCTAAATAATATTACCGAGGGACACCTGCTCAACGGTGCTATAATATTCAATTCAATTCAATATGGGGCAACATGCAGTCATAAAGCACAGGGCCAACCCACAAGTGGTGCCTTCCTGTTCTCTGGAGACTGTGTGGGGATGTGTAAAAATGCAGAGGGTAAAAATAGAGGCATGAAGTATTGGGGCATTCAACCCTCATGTGGAATAGGTCTGGGTTTTTCCAAGCCGACAGCAAACCAATTTGTCTATCTCTTGTGTACGTATTAGCCAGCGAGTTAGCATCTCTGTTTGGACACAGCCTCCAAGGAGAAAGGATGGACAATGAGAAAAGAAACCGAGGAAAAAACACAGGATTTACAGTATGCTCCACATTTTTGTGAAGAGAAGAATAAGACCAATGGCTAGATACTAGACTTTTGGCGTTGAGGAAACTGTCTCCTGCTGTGTGTGACACAAACACACATGGCCCTGCTTGCTTTTCTACGGCCAAAGCCTGGAGTGCTAATGCTCAAATTGCCATGCAGGCCTCCATCTCGCAGGAATCTCTGTCACTCTCCCATACAAAGCCAGCGAAGATAATGGATCCGTGTTAGTAGCCAGACGGCCTATGGCTTTCAAGTCACTGGATGTTCCTCGGGGGAACAGCATTGTGTGAATGACAGGCAAAGGTGGGAGGTGAGGGAACGTTAGATGGACACTTCTAAAGCTATTCCCTTCCCATTTAAGTGGAATATATGACCCTTTCACAGCTAAAGGAATCGTATCTCACTTTGTTCCCAGTTGATTTTCTTTTCCCTTCCAATTTTTCCCCTCACTTATTTGTATTCCTGTCTCCCTCTCACCTTTGTTATTGTCTCTGTGGTTCAATATGCGATGAATCCACTATATGCATCTCATTGAATGCAGCGTTTCTCTGTTTCTATCTTTGCCTTCTTTGTCTTTCCATCATGAGTGCGGTGGCTGTCTTTGTTGGCAGAAGGGTGACATTGTGTGTGTGCTGTTAAAGCAGAAAAATAAACATCACCACGGTTTTTCATACGCTGTATCCAAGGGCAACATCTATTTTCTCTAGTGATAAGCCGACTGACTGTCAGATGCAAATGAGACTCCCGTACACAGGTTGCTGAACCTTGAATGCTTATTTTCCTCCTACACAGAGGGAACATTGTCAGTGCATGATGTGTATGTCTGGAAGGCTCCACGTGAGCGTGTAAATCGTCATGTTTTAGTGCTTCAAGGTTGTAGTTCATAAATATTACGGGGACCCAGAGGTTGCAGGTCATAAATTCTCGCAAATACTTTTCTGGAGCATCCTCCCTACTGGTTATCACATTGTGTATCTCTTTGTTACAGGTGTTGTATTTCACTACCGGGCTCCTCATGACCGCTACGCCCTGTCCTTTGCTGACGCCAAGAGAGTGTGCGTGGAGAACTCTGCAGTCATCGCAACACCAGGCCAGCTGCAGGTTACCTTTGCTGACGGATACGACAACTGTGATGCAGGCTGGCTGTCTGACCAGACTGTGCGGTGAGTTCAGAATCAGAATCAGAAACAGATTTATTTGCCACGTTAGTTGACACGTACAAGGAATTTGCTTTAGTATATATAGTGCTTACATATTGGCTCAGTCTGTAGGGAACCTTGAGAAGCTTGGAAACGAAGGGTCGCCTCGCCAGACAACAATGTTTTTAAACCTACTGTGTGTGTGTGTGTGTGTGTGTGTGTGTGTGTGTGTGTGTGTGTGTGTGTGTGTGTGTGTGTGTGTGTGTGTGTGTGTGTGTGTGTGTGTGTGTGTGTGTGTGTGTGTGTGTGTGTGTGTGTGTGTGTGTGTGTGTGTGTGTGTGTGTGTGTGTGTGTGTGTGTGTGGTGTGTGTGTGTGTGTGTGTGTGTGTGTGTGTGTGTGTGTGTGTGTGTGTGTGTGTGTGTGTGTGTGTGTGTGTGTGTGTGTGTGTGTGTGTGTGTGTGTGTGTGTGTGTGTGTGTGTGTGTGTGTGTGTGTGTGTGTGTGTGTGTGTGCTGTACTTAGTGTAATAACATCTGAGTGAACAACTGGGGTTGAATAAAGGTTTGTATTTTTCTTCTTAAACGCAATGATGAAATATAATTATATAAAAAAATTAGAACAATGAGAAAAAAGTATAAAAACTGGAAATATATATAATATATATACTGACTTTGCATTCCTCTAGTGTCAGGTCTAAAAGCTTCATTTTGTTGGAATAACTGAGAGGACAAACTTTGGTCACTATGGTTACAACTGCAATGCAGATCAGTGCCGTCATTGAAAACAATTTTAAGTCCGGAAGAAATGTTGGCCTCTACAATTTCCAAATGCTGTGAAATGACCCCTTTCTTTCTTTAGTGCTAACAACAAATGATGCGATCCGTGGGCAGAACACAACGTCTATAGTCCCTGATAATTCCTTACAATGCAGCTGCATCTGAATACCCTGCTCTACATAGCAATTAGCCGTCTTAGGCTCAAAGTAAAAAGGTTTGCTGGCAGCTCTTGTTTACTCAACCAGGCTGCTATTTTAAAATCTCCATTTCAGCCTTATATTTTCGATAATTCGCCACATGATCAAACATTGTAACAAGAATAAATGCACTCTGCTGCTCAAGATATGTCTCAAAACAGAGAACAAAGCATGCATGCCATTTTGATATGTTTCTGTAAACACAAAGCTGTGCAAAATAATTGGCTCTAATTGCTTGTTTGCACACTGTAAATGCAGTTAACTACATCTGCCCCCTCTGAGCTGTCAGTCAGGCGTCTGCGTGTGCCTCAGCCTGCCAGTGTCCATAAAGTCCCTCACCATAATCAGTCAGAGCTGCTCTCCACTTCCACATCTTAATTTCTGTTGCTCCAGTCGCCAGGCAAAAACACTTTTTTCACAACCTTCCTGCGGCACAGCTTCCTTCTTTCTTTCTCTCGTTCCGTCCTACGCTCCTGTTGTTTTCACTCGAGAGTTATCTAATTGGTCCAAATCCAGGAGGCTCTGACTGCACATCAGCCAAAAGGGAAGTGTCCAATTAATACGGTGGAGAAAATACAGACATCAGGCCTCGCTTCATCAGACACCAAGCAGAAAGAATGAGGCTGAGGCCCGAGAAACTACAAGACTTAGTTATCTTGTTTTTACTGAAAACAGGTCGCTTTATGGTTATGTGTAGGCATGTGTGTCTTATTTGATGTGTGTGTGTGTTTGTGCATCTGTGTATATGTCTGTTCCTTATACTTCATAAGTCCCTGTATGCCCGGTATAATCTTTTAATCAGCCTCTTTCCCTGTGCCCTGGTGCTGCTGGAATCAATGTTCTTGTGGAATAATTGCTCAGTTGGAGCCTGAATATAGATCGCTGTTTTCTCAGCCCCACAAGCCACTGAAGGTGGATTATTTTAACCTCTCCTTGACTTCCAGCTTCTACATACCTTTCCCTCTCTCTCTATCTGGAGCGTTACTGGAATTCTGAAATTGCCAGAGTATTAAACAAATTTCAAAACGATTTAAAGTAAAATGGTAGGGTAATTTTCCTGTGAAACCCTCTCTGCAGGCAGAATAATTAAAGGAAGCAGGATACTGTATTTATTGAATTGCTTTCCAACTGTTGTCCTGCGGTTGTTGTGACAAGTAATGAATGTTACTGCTGACTCTGGCATTACATCCAGTTTCAGGAGGATATTTATATATTTTCTTTTCTTTCTTAGGGGTAAAATATTTTGGTAATCTCTGTGAGGAAGATATACTTAAACCCATTGTATTTAGAGCAGGAGATGATGAAAGTGCTGTTCAGTTTTTATCTTATTGTGTATGCGTGTGAACACAGACTCGTCCCCAGGGAGACAAGTGTGTGTGTGGCTGCTCTTTCTTTGCCAAGCTAAATGATTCTCTCTCTCTCTCTGTCCCCATCACTTGGATTTCTCTGCAGGTATCCCATCCAGTCGCCACGGCCCGGTTGCTATGGCGATCGCGAGGACTCACCTGGAGTCCGTAACTACGGTGATAGGTCATCCGATGAGCTGTTTGATGTCTACTGCTTTGCTAAGCAGCTTCACGGTAGGGGTCAGGAGCTTCATCCATAAATGTGGGTTTAGTCATGCAGGAATGCACAAAGCAGGAGAGCGCTGCGACCAGGACTCACAACTGTGTTAGCACAGAGAAGAGAAAGGGCAGCGTGAGAGAAGAGTTTGTGTAGGACAGAGGTAGACAACACTGAATCCAGATGTCATGTTACAACCTTATTTAGGCAAAACATGCAACGAGTGTGTCAGTTGTGTTATCCTTAAAGGTGGGGTAGGTAAGTTTCAGAAACCGGCTCGAGTGCACTAAAATGTGAAAGTACACAGCCGAAAAGAATCCGCCCCTTCCTTCAGACTTCCTTAAAGAGCACCTCCTCCAACACACATGAACGCGCACATAACGTCAGCAGACTGGTGAAAGTGGCCGCCTGTTGCTGGCGAGTCATTGAAGTACTGCTGCAATGCACGCCCAATGAGGGCACGAGATACATTTGTGCGTGCACGAGATGGAAGGCTGACAGACAGGGCGGCAATCCAATCCGTTTTGCCACGGATTGGTTGTACTTTTTACAGTATTACGGCTTCTACAGATGACATTTTTTTATGGATTTTTTGTCAAAGCACTTAAGATATTCATTGCTATCGGGATGTTAAGAGCATTCCATGGAATATAACAAAAAGTGTATCTCGAGCCGGTTTCTGAAACTTACCCACCTTTAAAGGACCCCTATTATACTATTTTTAGGCATATATTATAGGTATCAGATATATAAAAAACCTGTCTATGAAGTTTTGCTCAAAATACCAAACAGATCATGCATTGCAGCATCCCATAATCCCCTCTGTTTCAGCCCCGTTTCAAAAGGGCTGATTCTCTGTCTGTTACTTTAGATGAAAATAAGGAGCCCCTCCCCACGCCCCTCTGAGATATATTTGGTTAAAAAGAACACAATGGTGCTCTAGGAGGAGATTCAGGTGATAAGGTGGGGGGGGGGGGTGTTACCTTGGTTGGTGATTGGCTAATGGTTACACAAGCCAAAAGATCGTTATGACATCATAAAGTGGCCAAAATCTGATCAAAATCTGACAGGTTTTTATATAAATGGATCAGGACAAAAAGTGAGCGAATCTCTTTACACAGAGGAGACACATGTTTATGTATAAAAGACATTAAAAAGTGGATTTTGCATAATAGGTGACCTTTAAACTTTACTTTTGCAGCACCAAAGGCAGTTGTTTTAAAGTAAGACGCAAAGGTTAGCTCGTATGCTAACTGGTAAAGGGGTGGCATATTTTCTTACATCAGGAACAGTGCTGGTTCTTCATTTCTACGTCTCCTACTGTACATCATGGATCACCAACTGGTTTACCTTTCACATGTAGCTTTAGCCTAAGTCTGTTGGCCCCCCTCCTCAAACGCTGTATCCAGTTCTCTATATAAATCCGTGGTGAGCACAGCCATTATGAAAATCAAATTCAAAATCTAAACTATTTTGATTTGTTATTTATTGAAACCCGCTTTTGGTTAAGGAGGATGACAATGTATATTTCATATAATCACTGTCCACATAAGGACTGTGTTTTCCATGTATTGTTGGGACACATTCACTCAGCTATGTGGTTGGCTTTCGCTCCTCTTCCGATATTTATTTTGTGTGTTATGAAGTGGTAAAAGCAGGACTGTTATTAAGCATTAGGTACAAGAGGTACTTTTTTAGATATGAATTTTCTGTATGTGACTGAGATGTTGAGCAAAGAAGATTGCATGACCCCCTGTTGACTTTGTATCCAGCAGTTCACAATTTAATTCAGTGAGATAAACAACCTGATTGAAACGATCAGCGCGTAATTGTCTTTAATCAAACTCAAATTACAAGATGATACATAGCAGGTGTTTTCTCTCTTATTCTGTAAAAAGAAAACAACACTAGAAGTTTAATTTAAAAGCTCTGTTTTCATATACACACCATTTACAGCAGACTTTACATATCTCTACATCCAATTATATTTCAGCATGGTTTGGTTTTCTGTAGGAGATTACTTTTAATGTAGTAAAAAAATTGTTTTAGTAATACAATATGCACACAAATAAATGTAACTTAATTATCTGCCATAACAAACAAATGAATACGTTAAATATGACAATTTTAAACAAATGTCTAATAAGGATAAAATATGTGGGGATAACAATTAAATAGATGTAAACCAAATGCATGACTGGCCGTTGACCGAGTATAAATTAGCAACTGTTCTCCTCCCAATAAATATCTCCGTCATCTTCTAGCCTTCCTCCTCAAACATCTCTTCTCAGATAATATGCTTCTGCCTCTTTCTCCTTTCATGTTGTTCGCTTCTTCACCCTTTACCTCCCCATCTCAGTTCAACAAACCAGCCGCACATTTTTTCAACTCTTGTCATAAATCTCCTGGATCCTCACGTCGAGCTTAATCAGTTCTCCGCTCCTCATTCACTCATTCACTGTCCACTCCTCCAGCTCATATTCTTTTCAACACAAGCTGCCAGTGGATCTTCTGATCATATAATTTAATTTGTGCTGCACAGACATCGTGGTCCTCTTGAGTTCTGGCCTATTTTTGCATCTCCACCCTTCCCTTAAGCTTCTCCTTTCTTCTGCTCCTTCAGTCTACTTGCCTTTCTCTTAGATGCTTCTTTGCAACTGCTTTGAATTCAAAGAACTCTCTTTATATAATCTATTCATTGAAAAACTGATGTTTTTTTAAAATATGTTTTACCCGAACAATAGTGCATTCTTATGCTGAGCAAATGCAATATTTATCTCATCACATCAAGTTCCCAACTCTTATTACATTGGAAAAGTTGTATAAGGAGGAAAAGTAAATGGATGGAACTTACTTCCTTTAAACTAAAAGAAGACACTTTGAATCATGCGCACACACATAATATAAAAAGCTAGAGACTCGAATGTTGTTACATACTGTAGTGTTTTACAACTAAACAAACCACACAACTAAAACTGGATGTTAGTCTGAGGGCTGAAATGCCTCCAGTCTCACACTAACACATTTCTCTCTTCTCCTTCTTCTCCTCCCAGGTGAAGTCTTCCACTCCACTGTGACGGAGAAGTTGAGTCTGGCCACAGCCTCCACCCACTGTCACTCCCTGGGAGCCCAGCTGGCCACCGTGGGTCAGCTGTACCTCTCCTGGCAGGCCGGTCTGGACCAGTGTGACCCCGGCTGGCTCGCTGACGGCAGCGCCCGCTACCCCATCAACGTCCCGCGGAAGAACTGCGGCGGAGACGAGCCCGGCGTGCGGACCGTCTACAACAAGCCTGACCGCACTGGCTTCCCCGACACCACAGCTCTGTACGACGCCTACTGCTACCGAGGTAACGCTGCAATCTGTGTTGATAAAATGTATGATGCACCATCATTGTGCATCATCACATGCCATGGCACCGACAGAGGGGTCTGGGGACCTGCTTTCCATTCTGGTTTTTAATTAGCACGACATGTTTGTGTCACACATGAAGTACTTGCAAAGAGATTGTCTGACATTTGGAGACCCCTGATGGATTTGAAGGCTTTGTTGTGTTTAGTGAAGCCTGAGAGAGGGGGAAACCAACAGAAAGAGGACAGAGAGGAAGAGATAGATAGAAAGTGCAGGAATGTGAACGAGTCCAACAGGGGTTTGCAGTGACTCTGTGCCTGACCTTGTCTTTTATCATGTGCCAACTGAGACTGAACTAAGTTAGTTTCATCCTCTCTTTGGATCGACTTCACGGCTCATTCTGTTCACTGTTGTTGTTTATTTACAGCATTCTTCCACAGTGATATCGTTCCTCCGGGGCGGCAGGCTTTTGCGTTGACGTAGAATGTTTGCGATTAGTTAATGTAGGCAAAAAACAAACCTTGGTTAGTTTTAGAAAAAGTTTCGTAGTGTCACATGACATATTGAGGTCACTCTGGTTGGCCCTGGACACTGATGGTTTCTCCTGGGGAGAAAGTCCTGAAAGACTATTTTAACACCAACCTGACCCCTCCCTTCCTTAGCAGAATCTGCGCTCTTAGTACTACAGATTTGGCTCTGTTGAAGAAACAGATGGGTTAGTATTGGAGTTAGTTAAGCTGACAAATAGGGCATCTGTTAGCATCTGTATGAGAGCAAATGGGCTTTCAAGTATCTCCAATGTGGTCTCCAACCCATTGAACTGCCCAAGCATCAGTATGTGGCTTCCTGGTATTTTGAAGTATGTGGCTTCCTGGTATTTTGAAGATATTCACGCCTGTGATTTTTGCTTGATTTTGCTTTTCTGGCCTCTATTGATTGAAGCAGAGTAATATTTGACATTTGTATTTTCACAGACAGGAAAATAAAGGTGGCAATTCCATCTCTCACAAATTCAGCGTATGGCATTTTCACTGAACAAAAACATCTGCATAACCCAATAATTTTAAATATACAATAACAGCATGAGAGCGGAGCCACAGTGCATTTGTCCAAACAAAACGTTGATAGATGAACCTCGACATTGCAACAAAGCTTTATGCATATTTACATTAATATTTAAAACTAATTGTCTTTCAGAAAGCTTGGTCTCGGTAGAGTAGATAAAAATGGTAATATGTTTTGCTTAATAGCATCAATATGGCTCATGCAAATAATATTGTCGATAGAATCTCTTGAACACAATATATGCATGTTTGTTCATTTGAAAATGTTTGGATTTTATGGAAGAAAAATCAGAGCCACATGTGGTACAACTTTATCAGCCGAGCGTCGTGCAGCATGCTCTGAATTTAATATTGTTTGAGAAGCAATGCCAGGGAGGTGAGAGGTAAAGATGAGCAGATAGAGTACATCAGGTGAATAACTACCACTGTTGTGTGTTGCAGCCCACCACACAGAGGGGGTCCAGGCTGTGGAGGCGCAGGCTTTGTACCAGGGACCCGACCCAGCAGCAGAGCCCATCTCTCCAGTCACTGAAGCCCAGCGTAGTGCCTCTTTCTCCAAAACCTCCACCTGGACTGGCCTGGTTGACTTGGACAGCGCAGGAGTCAGCTCCATTGCTGGGAACAACGACTCCTCTGAGATCTCTGAAGAGCACGTAGTCATCCATTTAAGACCGGAGGAGGTTTGGGATGAAAAACAGGCGAGTCAACTGAGCCAGGAAGAGTCTGAAGGCCCAAAGAGCAGCAGCGCCATGAGCCTTCCAGACCAGGAGAACCATGGGGGGTCTGCTCATGAAGAAGAAGATGGTGGCTATTATGGTTCATCTGACACCCCGACGTTATCCTCCATAGCTTCTTCCACTCCCCAGTCACAGACTAGTAACAGTGTGTTGGCTGAGTTTATGAACACTCTGGTAAGGCCCTTTAGGTATTTGACAGCAGGTAAGGAGGTGGAGGAAAAGAGACTTTCAGTGATTGAAGAAAAAGAAGGGGAGAACCAGACACAGGGGGAAGCATCCAGTAGCAACCTGAGTATACCGAGACCAAGTGGAAACAAGGGCAGCATGGACAATGCTATTCTGGAGCACAGGAGTTTATCCTCCAGGACTCCCACCAGTGGACTACAGGCTCCAGAGGAAGGTCTGTCTGAGCAGGAGAAAGAGGTGATGCCACTGGTTCGATTAGTGCCTGCAGTCCAAAACGATGACACCACTACCCAGCCCGGAGAAAAAGCCTCCAGCACGTCTTCTAACAGCCCTCCATCCAGCAGCAGTAACGGTATGAAAAATGGATTTTATCTGTGTGTGTTTGTTGTTTCACCTTTCAACCTTTTGAACTCATAACTGAGTATGAAATTGAATTGTAAATGAGGGTAAATTGAAGCTGTTTTATATCAATTAGAAGCCTGGTGCATTAATACGTCGATGGTGAATGTAGGATCTGTTTATGTTGTGGTTTTTAAACAGTATCATACTCTCTATTCCACCCTCTCTTCTTTTCCCTGGAGTATGCTATAATGTATTCCTCCGCAGGGCAATTTGAAGTACCGCTGTAGATTTAATCAAACAGTAATTGCAAACAAACAAAAGAGGCATACCACGTCATACCACATGCAATTCAAATTGTTGGAGTGGAGACCGTTCTTCACTTATTCTCATGTTTATCGACAGAGTGCTTTGTTTATAGTACAGGCTGTCATAGCGAGGACATGCTAAACTTGAATTAATGTAATTTGTAATAAAAGGTTTGCTCACATATGTAATGTATGTTCAGAATAGCAGACCTGCATCACAAATTACAGCTTATTTATTTACTTAAGAATTGATTGGTATTAGGTGTGGAGAATGTATTACAAAGCAATGTTAATAGACATGGATGGAAGTTTAAGAAGTCTGTGTTCAGACATAAAGAGAGAAACGGTCTGGGGACTAGGAGAACGCCTGACAAGTGAAGGGGTTCATTGTTTGTGTTTTGGGTCCATGTGTGTGGGCAGAAGAGCCTGAAAGCCCCTATGAAACATCTAAAGTGGAGTGAATTAGCCTCAGGAATAGTGCGGTGCAACACACCCAAAGAAGGAAAAGGTCACCAGGTCACCTCTCATGTCTTCTTGAATCCAGCCTTGCACCAAACCCAAGATCACTTCTTTAAATGTGTAACTGCAGGGGTAAAGTTCGACTAAAGATTAGAGGAATGGCTCAAGGACTTACTTTTTTAGACATAGTGCTTTATAACATTTCATTTTGGAATGGTGATGCTCCGAAATGTATCCCAGCCATGCCTTGGATTGCACTCCTTGCGATGAAAGCAATGCATAATGTTGGCCATTTGATCATATCTAAGCCACATAAATTGGTCAAGCGGTTCTTTGCATTGAGGAGGAGCTCAGGGCCCAGATCCAATCAGCTGCAGAGTAGAGGTGGATTTTCGCAGAATGCAGGTGGAGAAAAAAAAGGATAATGACGCACATATACACAAACAATAACAGACATCCTACATTTGACTCACAACGGTGCATCTAACAATGTTTTTTTGTTGCACTTCACCAAAATGGTCACGCTTTGGAGCCCTTAACCCAGACAAACTAATCCTAGGCTGAAAGTGGAGAAATGTACCAAACAGAAGCCAAATAAAGTTTACCAACACATTGAAAGAAGGAAGCTTTTCTTTAAATGAATAAAACATCCGATATAGGGGAGGATTAAAACAAGTATCTCCCACAAAATGATTTAATAAAGGTGATAGGCTCTTCTCACCTACCAATTGCAGGCTTTATTAATATAAATGCTGCTGTGCTACCTGAAATCCAACGCTAACCTCCATGGTATAAAGGAAAATCCAAGCTTTATTCCACATGCATTATTCACAGGCGTATCCAATTAACGTGGAGGTTGGGCTGCACCGCCGTTCCCTCTCACCTCCATCTTTGTCTCTGCCAATTAGGCCCCGGCTCTCTGAAGGTAGGCGGTAATGATCACTACAGCAAGGACGAGCATCACAGGAGGGGGATGAGGAAGAGGGGAGAGGGGAGAGGGGGAAGATGGAGGGTAGAGGGGGGAAGATGGAGGGGAGAGGGGGGAAGATGGAGGGGAGAGGGGGGAAGATGGAGGAAAGGGGGGGCGAGGATAAGTCTTTCTGTCTTTAATGTTGCCATGATGGAAAAAGCTACCCAACTGATGTCTCTTCTTAAACCAGCATCAGTGAGCTGAATAAACTCGGTTATTGCACACCTCAGGCTATCCCTTGGATCTCAACACTCCTCAGTAACTGATGGTGCCATGTTGCCTCTTTTGATTGAGGGGGGTGCAAAGCTTCGCACTGCAGACAGCCCGTCCAAGAGAGATTATAATTTAAGTGTTGAATCAAATTACTTTGAAAAGGGCTCTGCATGTAGAGCGATGACTTAAATCATCTTCCCTGCAAATCAAAAACATTTAGAACATTTTATTAAATTAAGTTTTATTTTGTAGAGCTCCTAGTGGAGTGATCTGCCTCCGAAGAGCGCATATAGAATTTGAATAAGCTCTTAAGGGTCGCCTTTCTGTCATGAAACGAGTTTCTTCAATAGCAGAGACTGCATTCATGTGAGAGAAGACAGGGGGTTCTGTGCACTGACACTCAGTGTAGATGCTCCTGACATTATTCCCATGGCCATGCAATATCTTCAGCTCAGTGCTTTTTTTTATTGGATGCCATACAGTAAGTGCAGGTGGGATGAGGTGCCATTGGTGGCAGCTCTCTCTGTGTGTCTCTCTCATTGTCAGCCTCATACCTCTCAATTTAATATCATGTCTGCCTGACCCGAGGGATTTTTCTCAGCCTGTTTACTCCAGTAAAGTGGAATCAACACAGCAGAACCACTCAAAGCGGAAGCACAAAATTACCATCTGAACAGGGTTTATCATAAGTTTGTTTTGCTGCATTTCAGTTAAAGCTGTAGCTTTTCCACCAACAGATTAACAGAATCAGAGCTGAACTTTAACTGTGCTCGAACCATCCAAACCGTTGCCTAATTGTTTCATTTTATTTATAACATGGGTCATTACATGAATGATCAAACCAAATGAATGTGTTTAATTATCCTTACTTTCAGCAGAAAGTATGTAATTAGCTATTTGGATTATTAATAGAACAATTACGCCTCTCCACACGTCTCTTATGGAAATGAACCTCAGACTCGTAAGCCTCGCTGGGCATAAAGCAACAGCGGACCTCTTGAATAATTGACGCACATTTTAATATTTCATGCATGGACATATTTGTGTATGTTCTCCCTCTCATGGTAATTTGTTGTGCTGGGTTGTGTAGCACACGCCCTTCAGTATTGCTGTACTTTTCCGACATATTAACTGAACTGAGGACAGCCAAACGGTGATGATGATGTTAGCAACACTATCCGGGCCTCTCGGTGACATGACCGCACTGTGGCCTGAAAAAAAACAACCGTGAGTCACACATGCAGACTGAATGAATTATTGATGGTGTGTAGACAGTGTCTGGTTTATAGCCGTAAGCTGATAAGGTACAGTGGGCCACTTCATCTAAATAAACATGTCTAGATGGAGCTTGTTTTGGAGAAAGTCATTTGCTTATCGTGTTGCCAGTGCTCCTGCGTTTTTCCACTTGGCTTCTCTCACCACAGGCAAGTGTGTTCCTGTAGGAGACGGTTTTGGGTAAAATAATCCACAGGGAATAAGAAAACAGGGACAGAGAAGAGAAGTGTGAAATTACTTTGAATACATCCTTCCAAGCTTTTGATGCGTTTGTGTCAGTGTGTGTGCACAAGTGTGTTTGAGGGATGGCTGGCTCCCATCTTTCTCTACAAACTCCAGGAACTTTTGTAGCCGCACTGATCCGCTCCACTGGTGAGGAAAGAAGCCTAAAAGATCTACTTTACAGTGAATTATAACGGCTGCTTTCAGTTCACCGAAAAGTGCAGTCCGTCTTGAGCCTTTAAAAAATGGAAGGATAAAAGGAAAATAAACATTTATTTGGTTTAACTCTATTTGCATATGTACAGTATATCTTCAACATACTTCAAAAAGCACATGTTAGAGAAAATTGCTATTGGTTAATGTGTTGTATTATTAATATATAAAAGACAATTTGGAGAGTAGAGTTTCCCATGTAGTAAGGTTTCTGCAAGAATGTTTTATTGTTTGGATTTATTATCAATTTAGTTTGATCTGGTATAATTTGTTCTTAATGTGATCATTCAAGGCAAATAACTGAAGTGATTGACATATTTTACAGGAAATATTGTAGGAATCAGATGCCCCTAATCAGGTTCAGCCCCTGTAGTAAGGAGCAGTTGTTGATGACTATAAAACTCAATGATGTCTTGTGTTTTGACAAACGTAAACTGTAGTTGTTGCCAGTACTCAAGTTGTAAAAAAAAAAATCAGGGGGGATGGTGGATTTTATCATATGGGGACATCATTTGTGCTGATAACCCGCCGAGGGTGGGAAACCAACCAGCATAAAGATAATTATTATACTCCTAAAACAACATGCATGTTATGGATGTTCAGATACTCCTGTCATTGCTCTTGACCAAGGCACCTCAGGATTAGAGTCGGTCCCCGTGCTGCCATGGCACCACTAACATTTAGGGTCAAATGCAGAGGACAATTAGTGCAAAATCTTTTTTTCACTTTAATTTAAAGGGGGGGGAGAGGATACAAAAATGTGGTTATAATGGAAATCTATGGTACAAATCTTGTAGGTTAACAGTCCCTCATTTATTATTCAGATGGATCAACTGATTATACTAATAATAAAGTCAAAATAGTTTTTAGAATATTGAATTATAGTGTATTATTTCAAAAAAGCAGTTGCTGGTATATGATCAAAACTGGTATCTAAAGGGTTACATTTGTATCGTAATTAATTAAATCATTATGTAAATTAAACACTTCATGAAAAAATTGATCCGTCATCATTTTATTGCAGTTCAAATACAAATATTTTATGTTAACATTCCCAATGTTACTTTTTTTAACAGGGCATTAAGTGCAAATTGAAATTGTTTACAAAATATGAAAATATATTAAAAGATTATACAGATAATACAAAATAGGACCAATGTTGTCAATTGCTGCCTGCTCCACTCTCCCCCATCTCATATAAGTTTCCAAAGATTTTCATAATCATGTTTTTTGGTCTCAATTTTTCTGGCTCTTGCTTTCGGATTGTTAGCTAAGCAATGGCTTTGAAGCCAAGTCTTGACATATAATACCTCTGGTCTGAACTTGTTCAGTGGAGGGCCAACACACTTGATGAAAAGCAAGGCTGACATGACACCTCTAGGGAGCTTCTAGTTGTGGTTAAAATATTCATCTGACTAAACCCACGTTCACACTCAGCTGTGGAGATGACCAGAGTGTTCACTGCTTGAAGGAGGGGTTTCAGCTCTTCTGGTGCTGGTGGTATCATTTCATCAACAGTTTTGAGTCTTACCAGCTAGCTAACACGAGAGAAAAACGTAGCTAAACTCCAAACTAAGTTGTTATTGCTGCTTATGTCCATAGATTCCACCTTTGGTGAGTAAAGTAATGAGTAATGACTAAGATTACTGACTCTTGACTTACCTGAAATGTTATTTTTAGTATTTTTAAATATGAAGTCCCTCAGATCGCGTTGTCCTCCTGGTCGCTTGGCCATTGTGATGACCATTACCTGCGCTTCTGGCATCGATTAAATAGGCGCATCACAGCGCTCTGGCGCCCTCTAGGGCACTCGCATAGTATAGCGTCAGTGACTTGGTAATAATGTCATTGCGTGTGTGCGTGCTCCCTCGCCCACAGTATTTTACTCAAAATGCGCAAAATTAATGTTGAAATAGCAGTAATACCAGTGCCCCGTTCAAATCAGATCAAATGACATAAGGGATGGAAAGGGGGAATGGCAGTTTTAGAAGGGGGATGATTTTGACCGTTTTTATTTCAGGCGGGATGCCATCCCCCCTCAACTCGAGTACTGGTTGTTGCCTATTTAGTCAAGAATACATGATGTTGTAAAGAAAAGCATTTCATTTTCAGTAGTACTTTATTTGTCTGTTTCACGGTAAGCTCTATGAACAGATGGGACTCAAACCCAATGGATGTGGTCCAAGTTTCTACACAATTTCTACAAAGTCTAAAAAAATAGAAAATAAGTTGAAAAACAAATCGGTGACATAGTCCTCACATGACAGAAACTCATCACCAGACAATGCTCCCACCTGATTATTTGGAAACTGATCCCCCTGTACGTGTAATATGGGGCTCATGTAAGCCAGGCTTTAGTTTTAATTGCCAATTCCACATCCATAAAATTAAACCCACCCCCATGCTCTCCACCCCCGTAATGGAATTGTTTTAATTAATCTATTCTGTATCTTTGTTCCCTTTAGGATTCACTGCCACAGGTCCCAACGAGAGATCGCCACCCACTGAACATGTCATGGTATCCAGGCCTCAGGGTCCCAGAGGTGGCCCTGCTTTCTCTTCAGACCCCAACAACCACTTTCAGTGGGCCATCAAATCCATGCGTGCCTCTAAACTAGGTCCTCCTGGAAAGGCGCCGTTTTTGGGTAAACGCCCCACCTGGGAGCCTATGGAAGCAAAGAGTGGGCCAGTCGAGGTGATGACCCTGCCCACCTCCCTTCGACGGGACATCCCTGAAAACTATTCTGGTCAGGGGAAGGACCAGGATGCAGAAGATGTTAATGCTGCCAGAGTGGCATCAGGGGAGGAGAAGGAGATGGAGGGGAGTGGTGAGGGGAGCAACTTTCCTGATGGGTTTGGATTGAAAGCCAACAAGACTTCACTCAGCCAGACTGAGGCTGCGACTGTGGCAGAACACACTACTCTCTCCCACTGGCAGCTGGTGCCACAGCCCACCACCACACCTTCAGACACAGCAGAGGAGGCCAGGGGAGAGATCCTCTACGTCCACAGGCCCACTGACCACCTCTCCTCTGCTCCTTCACGAAGAGGAGAAAGCAGTTCAAATCCAGGTTTCACTCCTTTATCTACAAAGAACAGTGAAGAAACCAGCGTAAAGGAGGTGGTGACATCTACACCTGAAGCTCGTATGGAGGTGCTGACAACCTCTGAAGTGACCACAGTGGAGCTTCTGACAACCAGAGACACGCAGAGGACGGATCCTACCACCACAGCAACCACCACAGCAAACTCCTCAGAGAACGCCACCACCGAGGAGTCGTCTATTTCCATCTCATGGGTTCAGGAAGACAGGGAGAAAACAACACCCAACCTCTCAGCGACTCCCGCAACCGGCGACGGATCTCAAACGACTACGGGCGTTGTTCAGTTGACCACTTTTGCATCTGACTCTAACGTTGGCGCCACACAAATGGAATCCAGGTCTGCCGTGTCTGAGTCCTTCGTGGTTGGAAGTCGATGGACACCTTTCAAAACCCCCAAGTCAGAGGACCATAAAACTACAAAAGACAACAAAGACACAAACAACCCTTTCGGCATGCTCATACCCAACTGGGCCTTCGGACTCGTCCCATCAGGTAAGTGAGCTTCCCCAGTGTTCCTGATGAATGTACTTCACTGTCACCATTATCCTCGTGATTATGAGTGATTATCTAATCAGTAGCGATTTATTTAATTATGTATGCAGCTCAGCGAGAGCAAGGATCATCCCTCACATCCTCTCTGTTCTGAGGGGACATACAGTTCAGTAACATCAGTGTGTTGACTCCAATAATAATCCTCCACCTGAGTTCACAGCCTCTGCAAACCTCCTGAAATATACACACCTCTCTTATTTTTACCGTGTGCTGTCTCTTGTTGTTTCATTCTACATGTCCCCTCTCTCTCCCACGCATCATGCATTCTTAATCTGGGCTTGTTCTCTCTTCTCTCATCCTCCCACGTTGGTTTAGACTTTAGAGAGACGGCTCGAGACAGAGAGGCAGTCCACTGACGTGAGACCAACTGGGTCCTGTGAAGTAATTAGCGGGTCAGAGCGAGTGCAATTAGGTGAACTGGGGAGAGGCGGAGGTCCTAGTCCCCATCAAATCAATGTAGACACAAACTACAAGATGGGACTTGTAATTGACTGACGTCTCTTCTCCTTTCTCATTATTAAAGTCTGTCCGTGTTCACTCTGTTCTTTTTTTTCACGGTCGGTTCAACTTCTCGCACTCCAAACTTGTTGTTCACAGTATAAGCAGTGTATGTGCTGTTTGATTGAGTGTGCTCGCATTAATTTATTTTGGTAGTTAATGGACCTGCTGCTGTGGCAGAAAACCACAGGGTAAATGAACATAACAAACGCTATGTTTGTAATATCAACGAACAAAATGTGTTTGCTTATGTTTTATGTATCAGTCTTCAATTACTGCGATATTTATTTTATGTTTCTGCCAAAACTAATGTCATTCTTTCATTTTCGGCTCAGTGCATCTGGTATTTTCAGGTTTTTTGAAAATCCATTTACAAACTTCTGACTCGGATCATTCGTCATCCTGCGCAGCAAAGTGCATTTGTAAAACTTTTACTTATGAGACAATACATGGAGTGGTCAGAGCCAGTAGGGATTCAGTCGCTGCACTTACATGAAGCCTTTTGTTCCCCTAGTAATGAGTCAACACCTTAAACATTCAGACAGGAATGTGCTTCTGTCAAAGGGAAATGAACAATTTGCAATATGTTGAACAGAAGTTAGCTTGCTATGTTCACTGTAAAAACTACTCACAATTACTTTTTAAAAATCTGTACTCCTTTTCTGTTACCTGCTTTCACATTGTTGTCAAAGATCTTCTCCTGGGAAGAATCACCACTTGGTTAACTCCATTGATTTGTAATTTCTACCTAAAGTGCCCCATTTTTAGTAGAAATGTTACCTTCTTCCGTTCATTAAAACCAGGAGGGGCATCTTCTCATAAAACTGTGGTTTTGGTATAAATGACAGCCACTAACCAATACAAAGTAAACAATGCTTACTGTGGAGCATGACTGTGACACTAATATCGTCTTTTTATGTCGTAAACATAGAGAATTATTCAGGTTTCTTTCAGAAATAAATAATTTGGTTTATGTAGTTGGAGCCCAGTGACACTTGCTGAATTGTAATATGTTTACTGCAGCGACTACAAGCAGACTCCTCCCTCTGAATGACCTTTTGTAGTTGTCAGTCATAGTGCAGGGAAAATTACAACAATTGTTCTCTCCCCATTACAGTGGAGAGATGGAGAGAGAGGAGGGAAAGGGCAGAAGGATAGACAGCTCTGAGGAGGAAGAATGGGAGAGAAAGAGAGAGGGGTGAGCGTGTCCTCTACTAGGCTGTAGTTGGGAGTACATAAACCTCTTTAATCAATGATCACACACTACTCTACACAGCATGGGCCTCCAGGGAGCACGTTGTTCCTCCTCAATTTCCCTTCCTTCCTTCCGTCCTTTCCTCCTCCCTTTCTTTACCTTTCTGGCCAGGTCAGCATTGCAAATGAGATTTTATCTCAATGCTTTTTATCTGGTTAAATAAAAATGTACACTTCATCCAACCTTCATTCATTGTTTGTTATCAGGCCAGTCTCAGCCCCTATGTGTCCTATTTGGCCATATATCAGAGTGATAAGACACCGGTGTATAACAGCACATCCAGCTTTCCAATTCCCCATCGCTCTGGCCTCCAGCTAAACCCACACAGATGGTTGGATGTATGCACGAACACACATAACTAAATGTATGTGAAAAAGCAGCAGCATGCCAAACTTGCTCAGGAGTAAACCTCGATAATCCACCCCGCAGGCTTCACCATCATACACACACACAAAGACACAGAGTATATGTCTTTATCCTTCACTGTGAACGCTGTCAGAAAGTAAACACATTTCATTTTGTTTGTTTTTTAATTACTCATATCTTCATTTCCATTTTGTATAATCCTAAAGACAGTTTTTATACAAGTTTGAATAGCACAAACAAGTTACAATAGCAGCTTTAACTGCAGAGAATCCCAACATGAGTGGAAATACACCGAATGCCTCAGAGTACTGGTACCCAGCCGCGCAGGGTGACGAAGCAAGGCAGGCGGATACGGTACGGCGCGCTGTCTGTCCGGCCTTTTAATGACCAGCGCCCGTTTGAGACTCTGGCAAACAGGGAACAGGATGTCTCTGAGTTATAGGCATCTTGACTAAAGCCTTGTCCTGGGCTCCAGATAGATCAGACCTTTGGCAACATCAATAACACAGCAGCCAGCGCTCACCCAAATTAGAGTGTTACATTTGGAGGAGAACAGCCAGCATCCTCAAGTGTGTGTGTGTGTGTGTGTGTGTGTGTGTGTGTGTGTGTGTGTGTGTGTGTGTGTGTGTGTGTGTGTGTGTGTGTGTGTGTGTGTGTGTGTGTGTGTGTGTGTGTGTGGTGTGTGTGTGTGTGTGTGTGTGTGTGTTGTGTGTGTGTGTGTGTGTGTGTGTGTGTGTGTGTGTGTGTGTGTGTGTGTGTGTGTGTGTGTGTGTGTGTGTTGTGTGTGTGTGTGTGTGTGTGTGTGTGTGTGTGTGTGTGTGTGTGTTGTGTGTGTGTGTGTGTGTGTGTGTGTGTGTGTGTGTGTGTGTGTGTGTGTGTGTGTGTGTGTGTGTGTGTGTGTGTGTGTGTGTGTGTGTGTGTGTGTGTGTGTGTGTGTGTGTGTGTGTGTGTGTGTGTGTGTGTGTGTGTGTGTGTGTGTGTGTGTGTGTGTGTGTGTGTGTGTGTGTGTGTGGTGTGTGGTGTGTGCCATCGTCCGGGATGGAGGGGGGGAAAGAAGGAGATAAATGGAGAACAGGCTGGGTTGGCATATTATCAGCATGGGTCTCTGGATAGATGTTCAGTTTGTCTGTTGGCTGTTGGAGTCCTTGGATAGGCTGTCTGGAGCAGCAAGACATTCTCATGCTGCATATAGAAGTCTATTGATTTTTCTGCCTCTCCCTCCAAGTGTATCCCATCCTTTATTTTCTCCATCCTTCTTTTTCTCTGTCTCGCCCTTCCTGGCTTCTTCTTTTTTGTTTCGCTCTCCTTTGCTCCCCGTCTCCCTGACTTAATGTCTTTTATTACATCTCTGGTCATTGTTATGACTCTTGCTGGCATAATGTTTTGATAGCCTCTTGAACTCCAACGTGATACAACACAGAGCAGTCAATTGCCATCTAACTGTATCCGTCCCCTGTACGATCCTCAGCCTCAGCAGGATCCTTGTCACTACCTTTTAGAAAAGCCTCACCTCCCTTAAATCCTCTGCCTAATCTGTCAGCCTACTATCTGCTTCTCGTCTCCAAATTTCTTTTCATGGTGTAATGCCTTCATTTTTCCATATCAAACACTCCTGCTGAATATAATCCTGTGCTATTGGCTGCTGCATATTAAATGAATGGGATTTGTTAAAGAAGAGCCTTAAGGGACACTGGGCTTCATCGTGGTGTGGGATGAAATGGCGATACTCATGCTGACTGAGCACAGGCTCTTTGTATCCTGTCAACCAAGGGAAGTAATCTAAGTGTTGAAAATGAGCTTAAGTACACTGTGGTGAGAAGAGATTCAGTGATTGTTCATAATGATAGGCACCAGAAAAAATCCAATGAATTTGCTTTATGTTAATTACGTCAAACTCTTCTAATCACCTGTCTAAATTCCTGGGTAAAGAAGTGGTCCCTTCTCCGTAGGGTGAAGGGCGTCCATTATCATCAGGTCAGGGCTTCTCAAGAAAGAAGGCCAGTTAAACACAGAAAAACACGAAACATCATGATCTCACAGGTTAGAGATATCAAGTTTGAAACCAATTATACTGGAGAAACTAAATGTGCTAGATAGACTAACCTTTGTGACCTCACACACTTCAATCTTCACGTTATCGGTACCAACTTGGATGACAATGTTGCTAAAGCTTGAATTGTTGTGTTTTCTGTTTCTCCCTGGGCAAAACCAATACCTCCGGATTAGCCTCTATATTGGAAGCCCTGGTCCTTGATAAATATTTTACTCTGGCTGATGCTAATCTCATATTGTGGATAATGGAGTTCCCTAAAAATGGAGTGTGTCGTGGGGCAACAGGGCTGGCATCAAAGAACTGTTGCAGGCGGGAGTGACTGTAGACCAGACCACATGATACATACAGCCTTCCCATGTGCAGAATTATCAGTAGCGCTAATAGGCAGAGAAGAGCTGGAATATTTTATCATCACTTCTCTCTCTTGAACTGAGGCTAATCTTGCTGGGCTAGAAGCTTAAAGCTAAACTAACATGGCAACAACAACATAGGCAATCCTTTTGAGGCAAAAGATTGTTTTGAATATTCAATGCAACTTTGCTGATATAAAGTAGTTTAAGCCCAGGGTGAAAAAACCTTCATGGACAGGACTCTTTGTGAACTCTTTGTGAACTCTCTTCACAATCTTGATCATCCCGATCAAGATCGTGAAGAGAGTTAAAGAATATGGATGAGATAAAGAGTTACACACAAGTTATTCATCTGTAGGAAGTGTAAATGTGTTTTAAGAAGTTGTACACTAATGTCGAAGTTGCCATGTTTAATTTG